GACGGGCAGATCCGTCGGATTTTGGAACCAGAAATAGAGGGGAAATGAAGCTTGGCGAGGGTAGCGGTTGTGATTGATAGTGTATCAACCGACCCGCCCGAAACGGTGTCTTGTCATTGCTTATACCTTTTTCCCCCTTTTTTTTTTTTTTTTTTTTCGTGCGGAAATCCCCTCGGATACCACCTGTCGGTGGCATGTCGGACACGAACCGACTAAAACCGCACGCCGTCTCGGGTACTAATAGCCGGGGAACCAGGTATACCTTTTTCCCCTGTAAGTTTTTGAGGAGTTTGCACGTCCTCGTGTACTTCCACGTTCGGACCGCGAGCCTCGGTTTCGAAATGAACTTCTAGTATTGAAGTGATCACATTGACTTGAAGAGTTACCTCTTGAAGAGTAATGTGTATGTTGGCACTGACCATGGTACTCACCCCGCGAGGGTGGGTTATAACCGGTACGCATAAATGCGATCCTGGTTCGTTAGATTGAGTCCCACGCGATGGAACTGTCGGTTTTCGTGCGCCTTGCCCCCGCGAGGGGCGGCTACTAGGTTGGTAAAGCTTTTGAGAAGATCTTCAGTTTCAGGAGGCCAAAAAGCCTTACGGACCCCGCCAGCCCTCTCTAAAGTAGAGGTAAAGGGCTCAGCATTAAATATGTAAGTACTTGGAGGTATTTTGTTCAGGAATGCTTTCACTAGAGGATCTCTAACTTGACTCGTAATAGTTTCTCCACGCATTTCAATACTTTCAGCTCTATGGCCGCATGCTAATTGCAAAAGGTCTGAGGATATTTTATGAAATTCGCCCTTTTGAAATAATTCGTCAATCTTCCCATTTAAATTATCAAAATTGATACATTCTGAATTTTTTGCCCATGAAAGAAGATCACGAATACCTTCCTGCAATGATTGTCTCTGTTTTAATCACAGAACATATATACCCCTAAAGGGGGTTTTAATATGCAGTAGGTTAAGGCTGCGTACGATTTGTCAGCATGTGCCAGATGACGTAAGGTGTCATATGATTATATAATTTTTGCGTGTCGGCGTATCTTACTTCTGACCAACAAGTACTACCAAAACGCTGGATATCGACCAACTTCTTCAAAAAACTATCGGGGGTTTTTGGAACTAATGGTTCTTTAAGCTTAGTATCAATGTCAAAAGTGAAATCTAAACTTGAATTTTGATGTTCTTGATTTGAACAATCCTCGTCACTAATTTGATCATAAGGTTGACCACTAATTCCGGAACAAAGAGAAGCGTTATCATAACAAGCCGTATCAATGTTACTTGTAGTATTAATTTGTTTGCGAAGCTCAGTGCACTCAGACCAGCCACAGCCTGGGGCTGGGTATTGGAGTTGTGATTATTACCCTCCATCACTGCAAACGAATTACGTTTGCAGTGTATTTATAACACTTTACACAGCACAGTTATAATTTAAATATTGATTCTGAAAATTTACTATTAAATATTCAAAAGTAAAAGTTCTTTCTGTCCATAAAAATGTTACCTCTAAAAGAGGGTACTTACGGTACAAGACGTATCCGCTTTGAAGAACACTTTACACAAACTTTTACTTAATTTAAAATAAGTATTCACTTAATATTCACTATTATGCAACTGTCGCGGATGCACCACTACTGCGCACAAGTTGCTTCGACGGAGAACAAAAAGCCAATGAACAAAAATGGCGTGATACTTTTTACGAAAACTAAAAACTACTCGCAACCACCAGGTGGCGCCACTGAGCCGGGAGTATAAAGGGGATAAAAGTACGAAAACTGGTAAGAAATCGGCGGGAAACGGAAATGCCATCTCATAATAAAGCTTCCAGTGACGGTCAAGTGTTTTAATAAAATAATTTTACTTACTAGTAGGTACGTACATGTGTGTCTTTTTAATGGATAAGTATTTCCTTTTATCCCACGAAAAAAAAGGTGTTTGGATTAATAAATAAAGCGAATAGAGTAACGGAAAGTTATTGAGACGAGTGAAATAGGTAGTTATATGCGGTTCTGAATGAATCATGATACGGTTGGTACCTACCTACTTACGCTTGTGTTTAAACTTCGGTGCATGTGTGTTTGCATAATTCAAAGTAAAGACGTGGTATTTTATTATTAATAATATTTGTTTATTATCTGTGTGTATGAATAATACTAGAAAATTTTTTTTACCGTCTGTGTGTCATTAGATAGTTTTTCGAAATTTTCACAAAGTGTTTCTGCTGCTACTATAACAACATAACTATACCACTAAAAACTGGTTTTATTTTCTCGGTATTAACAACAACAGCTATAATATTTAGATGTTTGAGGGTTGTGATTTTAAAACATTCGTAGTCAGCTCTTCAGCTTTTTAATAATTAATTAATTTTTTGACCAAAGAATTTTTGTTTTGAGTTGTTGCGAGTTGTAGGTAGGTACTCGTACCTAATTTATAGAGACGTTAATAAGCTGAGATAAAAAGTTACTTACTCGTCAGCTGTTTCTTGCATTCTAGTTGAGTCTAGTTGGAGTTTCTAGGGATTGGAGTTTTGTAACGCGTAAGGAGAAAGCACATTTTTTTTATTCTATAGAAGGATTTTTAAGCTATTGCATAGCTTTTATCGCGGGCTCTGAGCGCGGCGCGGCGCGGTGACCGAATCAAGAAATTCTCAAAACCTAACGAAAAATATCTGACACCACGCAGATTTTTTCTTTAAAAAAAAAAATGTTATGCAATAGCTTTACCGCGGCAGTCTCCGAGAGTGCCACATGTATTTTTTTTTTCAGACGTCTTCAATGGTTGCAACTGATCCGGCGAGATGATTTGGAAAACAAACCTAACTTTAGTTCCTACCAAGTTTGTGAAAAACATTTTAATTTGGAGGATGTATTACATTCATCAAATCGAAAACTTTTAAAAAAGAATGCCCTACCATTGTTGATGCTGCCAAGCTTAGCTAGTACTGATCCAGGAGTATCTCTAAAAGAAGATAAACAAACCCAAACTGCTCCGTTGGTAGGAAATGAAAATAGTACACAGACTGAAAATGCAACAAATGAAATCTTTGCTCAAACCTCAACGAGTCTCTCTAGCAACACTCCAAGAAAAGGAAAATTGAAACTTGAACTCATCCAATGCAGAAAGAAAATAAAATAATTAAATCTACCAATCAAAAAACAACACGCATTTTTATTGAACACTTCCTATTCAATATACAAAGTATTTCATTTATTTATATAAAAAGGATATTTACAATCACAAATCTAAATAGAAACAGAAAGTAGGCAAAAATAATTAAAATACTGGAAACGGGCAGCCCTAACGCATGTTTACGTACCGCGCGGCTGTAGGCATTTATTTCTATCATGCGGCCAAGTTACACTACTGTATTATAATTATACCGTGCTGGTACTGAGGTGTCCCTGCATAGATATGAGAACAGTATTCCTTATGTGGCCTCACTTGCGCCTTATAGAGCTAAAGGCGGTGGGCCAGAGTGCAATACTGCCTCAATCTGTTCAGCACACCGAGCTTCTTCGAGGCCAATTTGATCTTACCCTCTAAGTGACCCCGAAACGGGACTCCGCTCGATATGTCTATGCCTAGGATTCCGATGCTGGCTGAGGCAGTTAGGGAGGTGGTCTCAAACTGAGGTGATACGACAAATGATATATTTTTTGCGGTAAACGCGCACCTGTGTCTTTTTGGGTTAAAATGGACTAGATTTAGTCGGCCCCAATCTGAAACCTCCGCTAAGGAAGTTTCAATTTCAGACACAAGTTTGTTACGACTTTTTACGAATCAGATTAACTTGGCATCAAGACTAGTCGTCATTGATATGATACGCATGGCGTGACGCGTCAGAGACAATTGTCAAACTTGTCTTTTAATTTTATTTTTGGGCATCGGTAGCAAAAGTTTTGCTCGTATTCGCCTTTAAACTATGCCAAAATAAAAACGATGTTTTCTCAAAATTGCAGTAATTTAAAATTTCATTTTATTAATTATAATTTCTTAGGAAGTCTGTCTAAAAATATTTGGTTTATCACTACTAGAATTTTTCAAGAGTAAAAAACCATTTTTGAACAACTCCTTTGTCTTCGAGTATTGGAAAACACCAAATGTACTGTAATATACTGAATGATGTTACTTTGTGGAGCTGTAGTAAAGTATGAAGTAAAAAAAAATGGTAAAAGTCCCGATACCGCTTTCAATAATTTCTCTAAGTATATTAACTTTACACACACCCCATCGCCGCATCTGTCACCCACGAACCCATTTTTGACATAATGACAACCGACATAACAAAAGCACCGACAACAAACTATACTACAGAAGACAAAAATTACTACAGAAGAATGCGTTAATAGAAAAATTATATCACGATTTGATTTCTAGATATATGATAGGCCAACGATTATATGAGAATATGTTTAGATGATTAATTTTATAAATTCTCAAGTAACTCAATTAGAAAACTACCAAACGGCCTTTCTGACATTTTGCATTTACCTACATCATAATCTGATGTGATATTCAAAAGAGGACATTTTTATATTTTAAATAGACTATTTTTATCTCGAAATTTTACCATATTTAGAATTACAAAATTATTAAATGTAGAATTATGTTAATTTTATTAACTATAATCTTCATTTAATTTATTCCGTACTGTACTGTACTGTAGAAGTTAGTACAAAATGTTGACCACACTAAAAGTTGTCACAGAAATTATTAAACCCATCTATGTTTTCGACTGAAAGACTTGTATCTATGGTCATGAAAGAAAATAATTAAAAAAAAAACAGAACTTAGAATTATAGAATTGTTTGTCTGTGGAACTTTCAGCAAGTGAGCTTGTAAGCGTGTCGTTTGTAAATTAGGTATTATGTTTCACGAAAGTTCTTCTGTGTAAAAGAAAAATGTAGAATTAACGCTTGTGTAATCTATTTTACTTTTAAGTGAGTCTTTAATATTCCTAATTTGCCTTATGTGCAAATCATCGAAAATGGTTTCGGGCAGCACGAGGGTGATTCAAGTCACCAACATAGCGCCCCAAGCCACCAAAGATCAGATGCAGACCCTTTTTGGCTATCTAGGCAAGATTGACGACATCCGACTATATCCAACTATCAGAGACGTGTCCTGCCCCGTGCAGTCTCGAATATGTTATGTAAAGTATTACGATTCGGCAACCGTTAATGTAGCTCAACACATGACCAATACTGTGTTCATTGATCGAGCTCTGATAGTCATTCCCATGCAATCAGGGGAGATTCCTGATGAACACAAAGCCTTAGAAATGTCAAGCAATGGTACACTAGTACCGGGCTTGAGCACTGTGGAGCCTCGCTTGCCGGCACATGTTATAAACACGTTAGACGGTCTACCTCCAAACCAAGTGATACAAACTCATGATCCTAAGATGTTAGCAGCTGGATTGCCTCCATATCCACCAATACCTGCTGCGTACGACTCTAGAAAAATAGAGGAAATTAGACGAACATTACTAATAGGAGATATTGGTTCTTTAACATCACAACAATTGATAGATCATTTCTGTCAAGCTGGTGAGGTTAAGTACTTGCGATTTGTTGAACGAGATGCAGACAAACAGAAATATGCATTAATTGAGATGACTGAACAAGAGACAGTCTTAAAAGCTCTACAGCTCAATGGCTCTACTGTAGATGGGCAAACAATCAAGGTTAGTTTTATCATTGGCAGTATTTTACTGCTTATTTTCTTTTTGGTTTCAGATTGCATTAACCTATTTTAGAAAAAGTTAAATGGTATACAGTATACATACATAATTAGCTTTGTAATTTGCTTATCACTATGCAATGTTACAATGCTATTTATACTTACCTGTAGTAGGTATTGATTGATAACTACAACAGCCATTGTGTGTCATGTGTAATATGTTTTTATTCACATTTAACTCTTATAGTCTTGGTTCTATTTTTTCACTGCATAAGCAACAAAAAGTTTTGTTTTGTTTATTTGTAAAAACCATAATTTCACTATTCTTTTATATGATTACTTTTTATTATTTCTATCTTAAATTAGAGGCTAATTTAAACATTAACTTTGAGCAAATAACATAATTGTTAAGTAGTCATTCTGGTTAACTATACTAGTATTTTGAACAGTTAGAAAAGTGGGGTGATGTATAAAGCAATTAGAACCTTTGTCAAAATATCCTATCCTAATTTTTGGCCCTTCGGGTCCTCTATAGGCTCATGGCTATTAACAAATTTACTCATGTTGCACTGCAAACTGTGTAATTTCATTTGTAATTTTTTTTGGTGTGTTTCTAATGATGCGGAAACTTTAATATATTTTAAAACAAATGCTCAAATGCTGCGAAAAGTTTTTTTTTTACATACAGCTCAATCTTAACATAGTATAAAATTAAGTCGCTTCTTGTTCCTAGTTTAAAATGAACCAAAATGGTTTTTAACCAGTTAGAAGCTTGCCTGGGACTCATTTTGTTCTTCTCCTAAGCTTCTAACTTGTTTTTCTAAAAAAAAAACCATTTTTTTTATTTCATGAGTTGTAATGTTACTTCAGCTGAGATGTGATATGTTCCTAAATGTTGACAAACATTTATGATCTAGTAGAAATAGTGATAGCTTGGATAGCTTTAAACATTTTCTGCACATACAAATTTTTAGTCTGTCTGCAGATGTGTTGTGATTCAGATCTGCAAATGTGAATCACAAGATTTTTGACAGTTAATGCACAACCTTGAAATGACATTGCAGACTAAATATTTGACTCGCCTTCTATATTTAGAGAAACAGTATTTTTTAAATTCTGTGTTCCTACAGAAATGAGAAAAATGTTTACATATTCTTCTTAGTCTACATTTACATAAAAACTTGACTAAAAAAATCTTCTTTGTCCTCAAGGTACACCATGCCACTCAAGCTATTTGCAAGCCACAAACCAAAAGCAATGAGGCAGCACAGAGAGAGATAGAAGAAGCCATGTGCAGAGTGAAAGAAGCCCAAAATTTAATATCTGCTGCAATTGATCCTGTTATAGGACTACTTTCCAAAGACAAGAGGAGGTAATTTTTTAATTGATAAACTAAAATATATGCGAGTTCGCATACCTTGTTTATGTATTGGACTGTGGTCTAGCTTCCTTGATTACGATAGGATTGTGTTTAACACTTTAGTTTTAGTTTCTACAGACAACTAGACAATTAGGCTAGGTAAGATGATGTTTAACTTATTAAAAAAGTTTGTTATATGTTAAAAAATCCCACGAAAATATAACAAATAAAAAACCCAAATCTCCGAAGTTGCTACAAGACCTATTTGAAAAAAAAGAAAGAAAGAAAAAACAATTATTTCATAGCATTCCAAGGATTCACTGTGCGGGTCTATCACATGATAGATGGAATTGCGACCCTGGAATAGGTTTAGGGAGTACTCCTTGCGACGCTTCAGCGTCGTCTTATGTTTTCCCTCCCGCCAGTGATAAACTTATAGCTTTGCGTATGATTTGTAATACACTATCATGGCGACGTGAATAATGACCCCGGTCCAATAGCGCCTTACAACCTTTCAGTAAGTGCATGGCTATATCTATTTCCGCACTGCACATCGTACAAGCCTTTTCTGTAGCTTTTCCCCAACTTAATAGGTTGCTTTGATCGAGGAGAGTTAATTGAAAGGCGTTGAGGTAAAATTTTAATAGGGCAGGTAACCAATCGTATAAAAGTGTGCGCCATTTCAAAGCTGGTGGGATACGCAATTCTCCTAGACTTAACCACTCATTCTGAATTTCTAGGTTCATTGCGTGCACCTTGTAGGTCTCGTTTTCATCTTGTTTTGGGAAAGATTATGTCGGTCTGTCTTCTAGCATTCCCCAATCCAACTCTAGTGGACTGCGTACCCTCCTTGAATTTCTTTCCGTGACTCTGATGATGAGCCGAGATTTTGACAAGACATGTATTTTGGTAACTCTTAGGTGTTTGTAGAGTTCCGAAGGTCTTTTTAACTTCATTCCAAAGTTATTCGAGCCCCCCTAAACAACGTTGACGGGTCTTCAGATTTATGTCTTAGTGTCTTTAGCGTCCAGTGTTCTTAAGTGGTTCTAGTTTATATCGTATACCAGAAACGGCCAGTTGAGACGTAATGTTAAGTAGTTGTCGGATCCAGGCTCGGTGGCTCCTGCAAGAAACTCTAATCGGGGGTTGTGCCGTCCATGGCCCTTTATGGGGCCCCAGTATGGGCGAGGTCCCTGAAAGCCAGCAACGTCGGGTTACTGCGACGACTAGAGCGAATTCTGGCCATCAGGGTCATAAGGGGGTAACGCACGATCTCCTTTGAGGCAGCAAGTTTTCTGGACGGAACTCCACCGTAGGACCTGGAGGCAAGAGCCCTTGCGGCTCTGTATCAGTGGCGCAAGGAGGCGCGGGCGTTGGGTCGGAGTCCTGAGACTCGAGAAATCGAAGACCATAAATTCCAACTCCGCCAGGTCCTTGGCCGCCTCCGCCAACCAGGCGCTGGGAACGCCGTTATCGCGCCGGTAAGACCCGTTATGGAGGATTGGCTCGAGAGGTATCACGGAACCCTCTCATACCGGTTGACGCAGGTGATCACCTGGAAAGGATGCTTCGTAGATCACCTGTGTCTGATCCGCAAGAAGCCAACGCCTGAGTGCCACCACTGCGATGACCGGACCGTGGACACGGTGCTCCCCACGCTGGCGGAATGCTCGGCGTGGGTTAAGTGGGCAGAAGGCGCGACCTAGTGGCGGCCATTGGAATGGGAATTCTCTCGCCCGGTAACATGATTGCCGCTATGGTACGGAGCGAGAGTGCGTGGAACACCGGCGTCTCCTTCTGCGAGCAAGTTATGCTTGCGAAGAAGATGGCGGAGCGGGACCGGGAGAGATTTAGAACTCTCCCGGCCCGCCAGCCCGCCATTTCAAGGCAACAGCATAACTCGTGTCGTATTGAGCCAAAGGCGTTTTCTAAATGTATCATACAGACTGTAATTTGCCTTTCATTTTTTCTAGCATCTTTGAGACTTTCCGCAAGTAATAAGTTATGTTCCAGACATCCAGAGATGCCGGGCATAACCCTTTCATGAACCCGGTAATTTGGTCTGAAGTAATTATTGTTGGACATAAACTGTATTATTTGATTCTTGATATAGGAAATAGGTTACTTTTTACATAGAAAACAGACATTCACGCGTGCGGAGCCGCAGGCAATAGCTACTTTTTTTATAGAAAAGTTCTCAAACAATATGGTTATTACTTAGTTTGTCATTATCATAATTTTATAGTGGCTGTTTCAATATTGAGTAGCTTTATTTCCTTAATAAATAGAGTAATTTGGTCATTACATAAGAAAAATTGCTATTTTTAATCATCCTAATTGATCTTTGTCTACATTATGCATAGATAAACTTTGATGCATCATGCCTCTATATTTATTCCCTCTTTCACTATAAACGCAAGGTAGTTGTGGCATAACTGTCTTCTTTTTCATTATTAAAATTAAATTTCAATATATATATATATATATATAAATGTGTTCTATATATCACTATAGAACACATACTGCGTGTGCTGACGGATTAAGAATACAGAGTGTCACCACCCCTATTCATCCCGTGGATGTCGTAAGAGGCGACTAAGGGAGAAAACTATGCAGGACAACAACACTGCAGAGAGAAGGAAAACTTGAAACAAACCCTATACCAACCTGTCTGGCTAGCGTGGTATAGTAGGCCAAAACCTCCTTTCTAAGGGGAGGCCTATGTCCAGCAGTGGACTATTAAAGGCTGTTGATGATGATGATGAGAGAACACATTGTTGCTTTCTCATGGATGGTATGCACACTAGAAGCACCAAATCTCACACACGGCCATCTGATCCGAAACTAGGCATAGCCGGTGCTATAATATAATAACCAGGCCGCTGATAAACATACTTATGTATTTCTAAATACAAAGTAAATGATCGTGCTCATTACACAATTATTTGCCTTGGGTGGGAATCGAACCCACAACCTCTGGCTTAACAGTCAGGATTATTCACAAATGTTTTGTTATTTAATCTTGAAATTAAGTACCATGTCTGTTATAGCATAATGTAGAACAAGTACCTATTATTTATAACTGTAACTATATTATTAACTTGTGTTGGTAAAAAAAATATCGTTGCTTTGTGTGAAATTCATGCATCACCAATAGCTGCTTTCATCGGAATAAATATTTTCATCTTGTTTCAGGACGCGGTCTCGGTCACGCTCTCGCCGGCGTTCAAGATCGCGGTCACGTCGCTCACGTTCACGTCATCGCTCCAAGCGCTCACGTTCACGTTCTCGTCACCGCTCCCGGCGTTCTCGTTCGCGTCATAGACACCGATCTCGGTAAGAGTTCAGATTTTGAATGATTAGACCTTGTTTGACATAACACGTTTTTTTTTAAGTTTTCTTTAATCTCATGACATTCTAACAATCGTAAGTTATATTATTAGACTATTTATCAAAAAGTTGCCTTGCAGATATTCTTCGTTGTGCCAAGGCTAGAGAATCATTTATAATTATTATAATCCTCAAAATAATTACATATATTTTGTCATTTCAGATCACGATCTCGCCATCGCAGCTCCCGTCGTTCTCGTTCTAGATCGCGACACCGCAGCTCGCGTTCAAAACGTGATCGTTCTCGTGACAAAGACAAAGATCGTGACCGTAAGGATAAGAAAGACTCTAGTGAAAAAGATAAAAAGGAAAAGTCTAAGTCACCACCCAAAGATGTCGAAAAGGAGGAAAAAGCAGAAAAGAAACCAGAAACTGTGGAAACGAATGGCAATTCTGCTGAAGGGAAATCAAAAGCATCGACTCCGGCTGACGATAAACCAGAAAAAGAGATTGAGAAAGACAAAGACAAAGAAAAAGAAAGATCACCTTCAAAGAAAAGAGACCGTTCGAGATCTCGGGACAAAAAGCGTGACCGATCTCGGTCGCGCCGCAGGTCTCGCTCGAGGTCACGGAGAAAGCGCTCACGATCCCGTAAAAGGTCTCGTTCTCGAGAGAGAAAAAGGTCTCGATCGAGGGACAGAAAAAGGTCGCGGTCACGAGACCGGAAACGCTCTCGGTCAAGAGACCGTAAAAGATCCAGGTCAAGAGACAAGAAGCGGTCCAGATCTAGAGATAAAAAGCGTTCTAGGTCACGCGATCGAAAGCGTTCTCGATCAGGCAGTCATCGATCTAAGAGTCGTTCTCACAGAGATTCTAAGACGCCGCACGATCGTAAATCTCGTGACCATAGTCCAAATCTGTCTGTTATTGAGGAAAAGGATATTTCTACTATAGAAAATAAACTTACGGACGTTAACGATGATAAAAATTCGCCAGATAATATGGATATATCTAATTCCCCGTAGTTTAGCAGTTCGGGTGCACGTGGAATTTGAACATGTTATTTTTATCTTTAAATTACATGAACTATTTTAAGTTACAATCTATGCGGTTCTAAAACACGTATGATTTTTTTTCTAAAACCTGTCAACGTTGTGTTTTATAAATAATAATTAATATAAATTAATTTTAAGAAGCAATAAACTCAAGATCACCAAAGAGTTGTCTTTTAGTTCTTAACTTACGCATTACGTATAGGCATATAACCGGCAAAATGCATACGATTAAAACCTATTCGTAAGGACTACATGTGTCGACACGTAACCTACTGATACTTTAGCCAGAAGAATAAACTGATTAACAATTACAGCTACACACAGATGTGTAGCTGAAACCAAAGCCCAAATATCAAAACCATTTGAAGTTTTAACCCTCCTTATTTCAGTACAGCATAGTGGACATTCGGACCGAAGTGGGGCTCCTATTTTCCCAATAGATCAATTTACTGACCATTAGATAGATTTGTTTTACATCGCTGAAATATAAAAGTTGAACCACGTCTGGTATAGCGGAGTCGAACTTAGTCCCTCAGAGCTGTTACTTGAGTCTCATCTGCATAAGTGTGGTAGGTACAGCAAGGTGCACAGCAGCACACGTTAGAACACCACCTTCCTGTCAGGAGGTATTGGCACACATTTAATGCTTCATCACTTTAGTTACCTTATTTTCTCTATCATATGACGGTTCTGAGCGATACAAATCGATAAATACAAAACAGTACAAAAACATATTAAGGTCAATCCTAACAAAAAAAAAGTAGTAAATAAACAGGAACAATTTGTTCTTTATTAAAATTAAACTCGAACAAATTTGAAGTTTAAAAAAATTGCTAGCCTGGAAACGAAACCTCCAATATTTCTCAGGAAAACGTCATCGAGAGTCGAAACAAACTTGTGTCTGAAATTGAAACTTCCTTAGCGGAGGTTTCAAATTGGGGCCGACTAAATCTAGTCCGGTTTAACCCGAAAAAGACAGGTCTGTGCGTTCACCGCAAAGAAGATACCATTTGTAGTATCACCTCGGTTTGAGAGCACATTTCTAACTGCCTCAGCCAGCATCGGAATCCTAGGCATCGACGTATCGAGCGAAGAGCAGCTCTATATTTAGAGCCACGATTATTTGGAATAATTTTATGAGGCATATTGTCATAAAATAGCATTTTGAGACTAAAATTAAAATGTTATCTTGAAAAGTCATAGATCTTGGTACAAAAGTTGGTGACAGAAATGAATCGAAACGAAAACCGACACCACGTAGTCTTGTCTGACCTACCCCTTGAGTGTAATTTAAGCCAGCGTAGGCGCGGAGGGGCGAGGCGGCCTGCGAGGAGGTGGTGAGCGTTAAATTCATCTGCGACAACAAGCTCGCATGGGATCGCCGGAGCTATGACAAAGATGCTGCATGCTTGCTGGCTTTATTATTTGGTAAGAAATACAACATGATGGATAGGTAGTCTTCCAAATATTATCGATATGAAATGTATGAATGAATTTTCGGCGATATGAAGGTCCTACTTCTTGAATATTATGGATATGAAGTTTATGCCTAAGTATGATTATGACTTGAAATTATGAGTTTTGCATATATGATAAATTAGTAACTGCCAAACGATTTTCTGCGAAATGAAGTTTGTGCTATCCGTTGTTATGCAAAATATTATTATGACATAAAAAGTTCTGCTATAAAGGGTAGACCCAATCTAGAATACTAACTGACAAAAGAGCTACCTGAACTGAATCCTTTAATTCATTTGTACCATGACGTCGGAAAAGAACGCTCAGTTTCAAGTTACAATTCACACCCCCTACAGTTACAACCCTTTCTGAAATATTAGAGAGATTAATGAACAATAACGATCCCCGTTTCTGTGATTATCTCAATATGGACGCAGATCATGGTATTCTTCCGGCTCACTCACTGCGTACACGTCAGAATCGATCCCGTCTATATTACCTACTATGAAAAACTAAACTACCGGCTTTTTGTTACGTAGCAAATAGTTTCATCACTGATCTTTACACAGTTTTATTTTTCCTTCGTTCTACTCGTAAACACTACTCTAATTACACTACGTATAGAACTACTAATTACAATGCCATTAACTTTGAAAATATTTAATCACACATCATCAAAACGGACAGACGGACTGTATACAGGGTGTGGCGTAAATAGTGGTCCACCATTAAGGATTCGATAAACCAGATAATTTACTATAACATATTACAATTTTATCCATTTTTACCCAAAGGTTCCGGAAATATATATTTTTTTAATTTTTTTACGATATGTGTACCTCTTGTTACAAATTTGGTTGTAGTTTTAACAAATACCATAATTTTTACATTTTGATTACTGGTAATTACTGCTGAATACTAGAGCTATCGTTAAATAACATGTTTTTAATGTAAATTTAAAGCTTGTGAAGAAAAAAATTGGTTTCACTCTACTTTTAACCCAAATTTTTAACATATCATGCTAATTCAAGACCGATTTTTGTAAAAAAATCGTACTAAGCTGTCAGTGCCCATTCATTTAAAAATATGCCTACTAAATACCAATTTCAAAATGGTATCACAATAGCAGATCCTTTTGTTTAACAAAAAGATATCCAATTTTAATTGAAGAAAAGAAGATTTTCCTTAAAAAATTTAATTTGGGTGAATATTATTACAAAACGTGTTAAATTCTATAAAACGGATAAAATGTAACTTTTTACTTTTGAAATATGATTTTAGTCTGACAAAACTGGTTTTAAGAGCACAAACATGTCTCAGGTAAAAAAAGCCCGACCCTTTTTTACCTGAGACATGTTTGTAAACAAAAGATCTGTTGAAGCTCTCGCCAATTGAGTAACGCACGATACGAGTGATAAAGAAAACATATGGTTAATGAATGCTATCCCTTTCATTCCTAACGTTGTAATCTCCAGAAAATCTCAAAATAATTTAGTACGATCTCGTCACTCGTGCGTCGTATGCGTTTTGTTTTTCCTAACGTTGTATGCCTGTCTGTATCGTTTCTTTATCCCTGCCCCGGACTCTGCTTAATTTGCCTACTGATTGGATTAGTTGGACTTTGGTTTGCTCAAAGATTTGGACAAACGTGCAGTGCAGTGACAAAAATGTCTCGGTACTATACTATATACTTGTTCTGAAGTCAATGACGCAACTAATTATTTTATTAAAACTATGAACTCGTTAATTACTGTAAATTGTACCAACCCGTAAAAGACTTAAAAAACAGTAGATGACCCAAGGTTCACTAAAATGCTTGCGCAATAGGGATGACTTACACTTGAAATTTAAAAATGATTATAATAAAATTTTAAAAATACTGATTAAAAGATATAGGAACTAATGCTCTAACTTATTAAAAAACATGAAATTAAAATATAATAAAAATCAGATAGATAATGCACAAGGCAATACAAAAAAGTTTGGAAAGCTATAAAACACGACACTAACCAACCGCTCGAACTTCTCTCTTCACCAGACCCAAGCCGAACAAATCACTACTGGCAATCACCATCCACACTCGGCTGATGTCCTCCCTTAAAACCAACACACATTCACCTTATTAGTAACGGATGAATCTGAAGTTGAGATGAACTTAAAAAGAGGCTGGCGGTGGGTAGCGATGACATTTCAGGTAACTCCCTAAAAACCAACTATTTAGTGAGATTAATGAACAACAGGCTTGTAAATATCTTAGAGCAAAAACACAACTGTTGTCCCCATGCCAATGTCGTTTTCGTTCCGGTCTATCCACGAGTAAAGCAGTCTTGGACCTAACCAACAAAGTCATAGCCAAGCTTGGTGAAAAACAAAAGGTTATGGGTGTTATTCTAGACATATCAAAAGCTTTCAATATGATCTCTGTTCCCATCCTAATCACTAAATTGGCAAAAATCGAAATCCGAGGTAATTAACTGTCTCTACTCAAAAGTTATCTCACCAACAGAAGGCAGTATGTTAAGATTAGCGATATCTGTAGCCAAGAGCTATTTGTAATCAATGGAGTCCCACAGGGGAGCATCCTCGGACCTACCTTATTTTTACTATTTATCAACGATCTTTGTAAGTTACAAGATTTTTACTTAGACCGACGATACGGCCCTTATTTGTTATGGAAGCTCTTGGGAGTCGGCATTTGAGACTGCACAATCCGCCCTTAACGATGTTACTAACTAACTAACTAGACAAAAATTAACCCTCACTCAATGTTGATAAAACTAATTATCTCACCTTTTCAGTAACATCACCTCAGGTGCATTTATGTGCAGCTATTTTAATACTCATACAAGGAAATAGCTTATGAAAAGCTGCAGAAGAGTGCAATGTATGTTACGTTATGCTGTTTCGGTTTATAAAAAATATAAGAATATGGATGATCTCTAAAGGTCATACATTTAATTTTTTACTATTTACTAGAGAAGAAGAAGAAGAATCAAAGAAGAAGATTATGTTCCAAGGAGGTGCGCCATATAACTTATCAAATAGCGAAAGTAAATAATATCCAATATTCTGTTAGTTGGGCAAAAGGCCAAATGGCAGCTATTGAATAGCTTCGGTCTTACAAATCAAAGTATCTTATAGTTTAATCGTTATTACCTAATTATTGGCACTTTATGATTGAACATAACATTTTATAATTGAACTCGAGCATTTTTTGTCATTCACCTACATCATCATCATCAACAGCCTATCGCAGCCCACTGCTGGATATACTCGTATGCCTCTCCCATTGAATGCCACCTACTCCATAAATTACACAAAATATGAGACAGACACTAATAATTATTATGTTTCATAGTTGAATTCATAATGTTTGTCAAACATTTCTAATTTTTTGTTTGTTACTGGTAGATTACCCATTTATTAAATAAACTACAAATGTCATTCGATACACAATAAAATCAGTTAAATGCCTGTTAATAAAATATTTTTTTATCTGTACAAACAAAATG